ATATTATTATTTTAGTATATTGATTAATATATCATTTATTATTATTATATAAACATTTAATTTGTATTGCAATGTATTAATCATTTTATTTTAAATGCTTTATTATATTTATCATTATATAAATGATGAATTAACTGAAATAAGTGGTCAAAAGTAGGTATAAGTGAAAGGTAAGAAGATTTCAGGTAATAACTCAACAAATCTCCTTCCCATCAGGCTTGGACGATAATCCACTGTAAACATCCATCCAGCCCATAAACCCTAATGAACAGCAAGTATCTGACTGTCTACACATTCACTTCATGTCATCCCTGCTAGTCACTGCTGAATGAAGACATTAGTAGCGAACAATTAGCAGAAAGAAGAAAATAAATAATATTTACATAAAAAAAGTTACATTCCGTTTTTTCTTTCACAACCTGCTCATAAATAAAATTATTTTGGGCTTATTTTTTTTGTCCTCAATGTGTTATTATAATTAACTGACGTTATTGTTTTTCTTTTTGTTATATGGAGGTCAACTTATTATACCTTCATTAATTATTTTTGCTGCTTTTAAAATGTCCTTTATGTGTACACTTTATTGATTTACAGTTGTCCCAGACTCTGACTTTAAATCTGAAACTATTAACATTCATTTTAAAAGTGACGAAAATTGAAAAATGAAATTAATAATGTAAAAATAAATGTATAAATAAAAACCTATGGATTAGTTCATTTGTTTAATGCAGTGTAAAATCTAAAATAGCATTAATATGTTCTGCTTTTAAGTGCATATTACTGAAGACTGCTTCAAATGACAAAAGTGTATGTGACACAGTGTCATCTGAAGAATCTGAAGCTTCTTGTCATCATCTGTGAAGAGCCGTGATTAGAGGCTGGACAGCTTTGCCCAGGCCACGGTCTAAATCTAATACAGGGGTGAAGTTTGTCTTCAAAGAGAGAAACAGGCCTGATAAGATTCCAAGGAAAGTAGCTACTGCTACTGCAACAACTTATCCAAACACCTTTACAGATTCACAACCATGATGAAAGATAATGAATTTTGCTACTTTCTCTGTGGCTGACTGACTCCTCATATCCAAGCCAAAAAAAACAAAACAAAAACAGGGAAAATATACAGTTAAACAACACCAAACCCAACCCAACAAAGTAAATGAAAATGGTAAAAAAATGGTTAAAGACAGTTCCTGTAGCTCAAACTAGAGCATGGAGCTAGCAACACCAAGGTCATACATTCGATTCCCAGAGAATGAACTAATGAAAGTCGCTTTGGACTGAAATGCATACATTTAAAGGGGTCCTATTATGCTTTGTGTGAAAAAATAATGCGTTTTCGAACCACCAAGCATGAGAGCATGTTCTACACCCTCAAAACAAAATCAAGACTTTGTAAAAGAGCATAATAGGACCCCTTTAACATAAATTAACTGAAAGAAATGTTATGATGTAAATTGGCCCTAGATGGCGCTGTTGAACTTCTCTTTGCTTCGGCGTTGGTAGTCTAAACAGTAAACACACATTCAAACAGAGTCGTTTTTGTACACCTGTGATATTTTGTGTTACTATGTATGTGTCTAAAAGTACAACCTGGCATTTTGTAGTATGAAATCGTTCGGTCCGGATTCATTATCATAACGGGGTCTTGCAAAGTACGATTCATTTCATTAAAGACACACAACACTTCCTCGTTCTTCTCTGACTAAACAGTCCAGCACTATTCTTCTGCCGCCCGTGAACCTCAGGGTTTCTCACGATATCGGGATCTGCAGCCATGTGGAGCGAGATTTCATATGGTGAGCAAAAACTGTTCTGACTTTGAAACCTCTGACTGTTTGTTGTTTAGCACGATAAGCTTACTAGTTTGAGTTAGTTCTAATAGAATTGGCCACGGGCTACAGGAAAGTACGGTAGTGTACATTTTTAATTTACTGCATTGCATCTCAAAGAAATCCAACAGGATTAATGCATTCTGGTGAATGAAGTGTACTTCCACCCCAGTAAATCTATCTATCTATCTATCTATCTATCTATCTATCTATCTATCTATCTATCTATCTATCTATTTGGCCGAATACCTCAAGAGTGTGACGGAAATGTTACGCCCCTACAATACTGTGAAGCCCTGTCCGGCCAGAGCGACGAGACAAAAACATTAAAGGTCCCATGACATGCTGCTTTTTAGATGCTTTTATATAGGCCTAAGTGGTCCCTAGTACTGTATCTTAAGTCTCTTTCCTGAAATTCAGCCTTGGTGCAGAATTTCAGCCACTACGAGCCAGTCCCACAATGAGCTTTCCTTAGGACGTGCCTATTTGAATATATTTTAAAATGTAAATGTAATTTATTCATGTGATCAAAGCTGAATTTTCAGCATCATTACTCCAGTCTTCAGTGTCACATGATCCTTCAGGAATCATTCTAATATTCTGTAATATATACAGCTATATATAATATTTGCTGCTCAAAAAATATTTCTTATTATTATCAATGTTGAAAACATTGTACTGCTTCATATCTTTGTGGAAACAGTGTTGCATTTTGTTTTTCAGGATTCTTTGATGAATAAAATTCATCAGTGCAGCATTTATTTGAAATAGAAAACTTTGTAACATTATGTCTTTAGTGTCGCTTTTGATCAATTTAAGGCATCCTTGATGAATAAATCTATAAATATAAAAAAAAGCTTACAATACCAAATTTATTAAAAATATTCTGTTTTTTGTCCATACAAATTTAAGTCAGTGGGGTCTAATATGCCATTTATCCTGTCAGTCTGTCACAGAGTCGTCTCAGTTTAACTGCCATCACCAACCTGTCAACAGCGCTGGCTGAGGGACGGACGATAACGCTGGATCTTTCACATTCCACACTGAAAAAAGAGTCGGTCAAAACCCTCTGCCATGCACTCACGCTCTCCACGCTGGAGTCGCTCAAGTAAGATTATTTTTTATGTACGTGCCAGCCGCACGTACATAAAAGACAGGACAGTCTTATTAGACAGGACAGCATCATATTGGGAATGAGACTGTGACTCAAACCTTCGTCTTTTATGTGGCTGTGCCACAATAATGTACTTTTTTGATACACTGGGTTAAATCATTTTTAAGGTGACCATACTTCCACTTTTTCCCAGACATGTCCTGGCCTGGGATTTCTAAATTGCCTAAAATGTCCATACGTACATAAAAGACAGGACAGTCTTATTAGACAGGACAGCATCATATTGGGAATGAGACTGTGACTCAAACCTTCGTCTTTTATGTGGCTGTGCCACAATAATGTACTTTTTTGATACACTGGGTTAAATAATTTTTAAGGTGACCATACTTCCACTTTTTCCCAGACATGTCCTGGCCTGGGATTTCTAAATTGCCTAAAATGTCCACGTTTTGGCTTTGTTTTTCTATTGACGCGCTCTCTTGCAAGCCACTATTGGTCTTTTATGCACAGTGCTTCCACACTATTGACTTTTCAGTCATAACCATCAGTAAGTATGAAAACAGTAGGTAAACAAAGTCAAAACCTGGACATTTTAGGCAATTTGTGAATCCTGGCTAAGGAAAAAAATTACGTATGGTCACCCTAATCATTCTCGGTGCTTGCTTTTGCTCAAACACTTGCTGAAATATGTCATCTCTTTGTTCAGCTTGTGTGGATGCTCATTGACTACAGCTGATTGTGAAGCTCTGGCTCAGATGCTCTCTGGAGGCTCACGGCTGCGTGTGCTCAATCTGTGTGGGAATAATCTGGAGGATCAAGGCCTTATTCACCTCAGCAGTGCCCTGGAAAACTGCAGACTACAAGAAATCAAGTACACTTGCACTATTCATATATCAGTCAGTCTTTTTGGAAACATAGAATTGAAAGCCATGTGGTAAGTTAACTGCTGTTTTGTTGTATTCTACAGTCTGGATTTATGCTCACTGACGGCGGCATCCATGCCTGCGCTGTCTTCAGCTCTGAACAGCGGCTTTTCAGAGCTGAGGAAGCTAAGCCTGAGCCGGAACGCAGTGATGGATGATGGGATAGAGCTGATCTCACGAGTGTTACAGAAAGGCAGCCTCAACACATTGAAGTAATACACACATACTCTGTTTAGGTGACCAACACAAATGCCTAAAAACCACCACTAAACACCTCAGAAAAGCAAATATCTGTTATAGTTTAAAACAACTGTTTTCTGTTTGATGTATATTTAAATATAATTTATTCCTGTGATGTGAAGCTGAATTGTCAGCATCATTACTCGAGTATTCAGTGTCACGTGATCCTTCAGAAATCATTCTCAAGAATGTTGAAAACAGTTGTGTTGCTTGATATTTTTGTAGAAACCATGAGTCTTTGATGAAAAGAAAGTTCAAAAGAGCAGCATTTCTTTAAAATATAAATCTTTTGTAACATTATAAAGGTCTTTACTGTCACTTTTGATCAATTTAATCCATCCTTGCTGAATAAAAGTATTAATTGCGTTCAAAAAACAAATAAATTATATATATAAGTTTGAGATGGTTGCAATTGTCTACAGAATTCAAGAGGTTAACTGCACTTATTTGAATCTACTAATAGCCATTTGTGTAAAGCCTGTTTATTGAAATACTGATTAGTTATGGGATTTTTGTATGATTGATCATGTGTTTTATTGTTTTAATTACAGTGTGTCTGACTGTGAGTTGACTGGCTCCTGCTGCTCCTCTCTAGCAGCTGCCCTCCAATCAGAAAACTGCCGTCTGACTGAGCTGGATCTGTCCGTAAATGATCTTGGCCAATCAGGAGCGATGCAGATATGTGAAGTGCTGATGACTCCTAAATGCACACTGGAAATACTGGAGTATGTATGTAAATGAGCTGTTTTTAAACACATTAATGATGATCATGTGAGGAGGGCAGAATTGAGGCATGTTAGGTTATGATATTATTGGTTAATGTTATTTTTCCTGGGTTGGATCAGTAGAAAATACTCTAAAATTTGGGATGACTAGGATTGTTTTTTGTTGAAAGAAATCAATATAATGCATCCTTTAGTAAAATAAAATATAATATTGTAAAATATTGATAAAAAGTGTCAGTAAAGGTTCAGTTCTTTTTTTATGAACTCTGGGCTACCTTTCTACCACTTAAGCGCTTTTTACATGGCTGAGTTTGGCGGAGGAACTCACTATTAGAATCCATAGTATACGGTGGCAGAGAAGTGCAAAACAAATCACAATTCTGAAAACAAAATAACAAATTACAAATGCAAAAGCAAGTCTAAAAAACAAAATGCGGTGCGTAATCCCAAACCAATGGCGCTGTCTCAAACTATACCTACCTCTTCCGGTTTGTCTGATTTGTCGTTGTGTTTTCTGACTTGTTATAATGTTTTCTGAATTGTTATTTAGTTTTTTAGACTTGCATTTGCATTTGTAATTTGTTATTTTGTTTTCAGAATTGTGATTTGTTTTGCACTTCTCGGCCACCGTAATAGTATCCCTTGAGTGAACTCTCATTATGGGTTAGTGCCCCATATGTTGTGGCTCCCCTTGGTGGCCCCATATGTGTATTATTCAACTGACTTGTCCCTTAGGATTCAGTGTCTCCCCTAGACAAGACACTCGATCTGACACGAGGTTCTGTGTTTGGTAGTTCTTGGTAGTTGATTATGTGAAATCTAAGCAGTGTGTGTATTTTGGTGTAGAATGAGTAGATGTGAGCTGACCAAGGAGGTGTTTCGAGCACTGGGGAGTATTTTGACGTCTGGCGTTTCAAAGCTCGTCAGTCTCTCGGTAGGCCTGAACGATGTGGGCGAAACTGCAGTCAAACACATTTGGGAGGCGCTGAGACACAAACACTGCAAACTACAGCACCTGGAGTGAGTAAAATCCTCACACATGTGCTCACAGGAGCAACTAGCATGATTGGAGATGGGCTGAAACTAATTAAACCGCACCTGATGATTGAATCGTGCCTGTCTCGTCTTGTTTCTGCAGTCTGGAGATGTTGTCGCTCACAGACACTTGCGTCGAGGAGTTATGTGAATCTGTTGCTGCCAGCAGCACTTTATCAACTCTCATTCTAAAGAACAACATAATGACCGACTCCTCCGTACCACGATTGGTCAAATTAATGCTGGACCATCCTCTAATGACCGAGCTAAAGTAAGTTCAGTCTGAAAATATATTTTCAAAGTTTTTAAATGCATTTTAAAATATACAAAAATGGCCAAATATACATTAATAACATACAATTTAAATATATTTATATAAATATATATATATATATATATATATATATAAAAAAAAATAATAATAATATATTTAAAACATTTAATAAGTTTACTTTCAGTTTGTTTACTATTTGGTTATTTTTATTTATTTGTTTTACCATTTTTTATTTTCAGTGGAAAATACATTTTGTATTAACCCAAAAATTTATTTTAATGTTGTAAATGTGCCTTTTGTCCTTTTGCAGTACATTTTCTATTATGTTTTGGCATTTGAAATAAAGCTAAATATATTTTACATTTAAAAAAATATTTTATTATGCTGTAAAACACATTTTCTACTGTACATTTATTTTGGCCAAAAAAAATTGCACTTGTGTCACATCTCAAATTGATGTACTTCATGTGATAACATATTATTTTTCTCATATTTTTTCCAGTCTGAGGTATAATGACTTCAGTGAAGATGTTTTTGAGTTGATGGACACATGCCAAAATATTGTTTATTAGAGAAGCACATCTCAGGTTGGATGACAGTTGCATGCTTCAGGTATAAACAAATGCTATTATTAATGCATATTCTATTCTGTTTATTCCTTAAGACCAAGAGACAAAGTGACTCCCTCTAATGGCCTTTTTACAGACAGTTTTATACAGTGGCCCCAAAAAGTATGAATGTCTTTGCATTTGCAACCAAGTATTATAAAGTAATATTTATTTGAAGTAAACATAGCACAAAAAAAGAACATTGACAGTTTTCAATAGATATACTATTAAAAATTAGGATTAAAAAGGATTTTTTCTGGTTGTGAAGAATAAATTGCTTCATAATATATACATTCATTTTTAATTTCATCTTAAGTGTCCAAATACTTTTTGGAGCTACTGTAAATCATTCAGACTGTCATGTCTGGTTCTTCACATACTCTACAACCCTCATAATGCTATTTATTGTCTGAAAGAACTAGACAGCTATAGCTCATAGAAAGTGATTTATTTCACATTACATATTGAGAAATATTCATTTTAGTGTGATTTTGTGAACTGTTTCACTCCGAATGGATGGTAACAGCTTTAGTGGCAATTAAAGAGGAGCGCTCAGTCTGGCATTTGTGGCTTTTCTTCAGAATAAAGTGGCTGAAAGTACAGCGCTGAAGGACAGATTCATTAAAAATGAGTTCAGCAGGGCTCACATGCATACTGCACACAAACACTCACACATACTCAGTATTGCAGCTTCGTCCTTCTTTCACTGATGTTCTGGATGGTTCTGCAAGCAGTGGATGAACTCTGTAACAGGCCGACCCTCGTAACAGATCTCATACACTGAACAAAAGTGTCAAAATCACTGCATTTGCTACAACATCAAACCAACTGGAATTTACTTTAAAGACAACATGAGCACACTTTTCAAGTCATTTGACAACACAAATTTGTTAGTGGTAGTGTTACTTTAGAATGATTTAAATAATAATAACAAAACTGCTAATTTAGAGGTGCAACTGTATAGACCTCTTGGTTTCATTGTTATGTGTTTATACATGTATATCATGCTTAAAGTACTAACCTACTTTATTTACAACAAAAGAGAAATGTTAATTCACTGTATTACTATATTACTGCTGTTGATAAAACAATTCAGTTAATGTGCGTAAACATTGCATGCCAACCTAAAAATCGATTGAACTGTTAAACATGCTGGATATGAATTGTTTTACATATGCACTGCTAATTAGTGATGCTAGGTTCTTGAACAAATTGTTCTTTTGAGCCGGTTCTCAGGAAGTAACCGGTCGAGCCGGTTCACAAATTCGAACTGAATCGAACTTTAGTTCAGGGTTGATGACGCAGGACGCACAGCCCGAAGTACCACGTCCAACTCAAAAAGAACCAAATTGAGCCGATTCAACCAATTGGCGAAGTTTGCCGAGGATTATCGAAGATTCTGATTGAGTTGACGATACTGTGCAAGCCTGAGGCGCGTACTAATATGCGTATTATGACCAGTGTTGGGGAAAGTTACTTTTAAAAGTAATGCATTACAATATTGCGTTACTCCATGAAAAAGTAACTAATTACGTTACTTAGTTACTTTTTATGGAAAGTAATGCGTTACGTTACTTTTTAAATCTGGACAGGGCATGCTTGTTTGCTTTTAAAATAAAAAAAGTTATATTTTTGGCAAATATAAAAGCCTTTTCACACCAAAAGTGAAATGAATAAGCCTCAGGCTGAAGGGAAAGTACATTTACGTCCGTACAGTAGAATACAGAAGAAGAAATTTCAACACACTTCAGCAATAAAAAAAGACACACAAATGATTGTCTAGAGTAATTTGTGCTTATTAGTACGGTTGAACTGGATCATCGAAGGTCAGAAGCAAAGACATTGGTTAATAGAATGGGATTAAATATATAAAGGATATGTGTTGTTTAACATTTAATTATTGCAGGTTTACGTCATATTCTGAGTTGCGCTATTTGTATTCATTTTGAGGAATACTGAATCTTTTTTTGTCAATCAATAAATTGGAAAAAAAAGTAACTTGCGTTACTTATTTGAAAAAGTAACTCAGATATTCTCTTGTAAATTAAAAAGTAATCCGTTACTTTACTAGTTACTTGAAAAAAGTAATCTGATTACGTAACTCGCGTTACTTTGTAATGCGTGACACTGATTATGACTGTTATTAATTTACATTTTATTAAAACCTGAAAAAACCTTTCTGTCGAGTGATGTAAATACATTTTACAGTAGTTTATCGTGCATGCATATTATATTTAAATTTGCTTAAGTGAAATCAAGGAGTTTTATAAGACTGGTTTATTCATTCTAAGTTTGCCGAGGATTACCGAGGACTCAACAAGAACCGAATGAGCCGTGGCGAAGTTTGCAGACGATTACCGAAGATTCTGATTGAGTTGACGATACTGTGCAAGCCTGAGGCACGTACTGGAAATATGCTTATTATGACTGTTATTAATTTACATTTTATTAAAACCTGAAAAAACCTTTCTGTCGAGTGAATACATTTTACAATAGTTTGTGCATGCATATTATATTTAAATTTGCTTAAGCGAAATCAAGGAGTTTTATAAGACTGGTTTATTCATTCTTTATACTGTAGACATGTAGAACATGTCCGCGTTTGTGCATTAATGTTTGTAATGTGTGCTGTAGGTGTGACACTTTTAGGAATCTTATCCGAGTTGTAGGCTAGTCAATATTGGTCAGTCAGTCATATCTGAGGATCAGCGAATGAAACTGTGACCACAAACACCATTAACTTAAGTGAATTATATGGCAATAATCAGCAATATGCTTTCACACAAATATCTTTATTTTTTTAATGTTTCAATATGTGTTGACACAAATTACTTATTTGAATTTTTCATTGATATAACATTGCATTGAGTTGTTAGAAAAGAAGTGTGTAGAGACGTTGTTGCTTGATGACGTCAGGAACCGATGAACCGGCTTTTTGAACCGGTTCAATAAGCCGATCTGTCCGAAAAGAACCGGTTCGCAGAAATGAATCGGACTTTGCATCACTACTGCTAATTCCTTTGATGTTATGAGGTGTAAATGGAGAAGTGTGATTAAGCAAACCTTCAGAGCGCCACAGATCTCAACCACATCTGCTTCCTGTACGACCGTGACCCGGAAGTGATGTGTCTGCATGAGTTCCTTAAGCAGCGCCCCCTGAGCTTGATCTCTGCAGCCTTACAAACATGAAACACACAAATGCATATAATCCCCCAAAACAAAAATATGACTTCTCTAACATATTCTCGTTGCTTTTCATCAGCCTCACCAATGGTGGTTTCACAGAATTTCTCATCCGCCGCCTCATTGGCGATATTTGCTCCCATCAACACGCTCATCTTGATGCCCAGCTTCTCGTGAATAACCTCAGAGATCAGCTTCAGTCCGTCCGGTCCTTCATCCACCCCCTAAACCAACCATATGCAGAGTCATCGCTAGCTATTGGTGTCAAATGTGACAGTCTTGTGATCTTAGCAACTTTTCCCTTAATGTAAGACTGCTGAGGAAATGGCACACAGTGCATATGAGTGTACGGCAGGGTTCCTCAAATCTTGCCCTGGAGGGCCAATGCGCTACAGAGTTTAGCTCCAACCCTACTCAAACTCACCTACCTGTGTTTTTCTAATGATCCTGAAGACATTGATTAGCATGCTCAGGTGTGTTTGATTAGGGTTAGAGCTACACTCTGCAGGAAAGTGGATCCCGTGGGCCAGATTTGAGGATCCCTGGTGTACGGGACCTTGATGAGTGACATTCCCAGCGCATCCGGATTGATTTTGCCCTTCATGGTGTCACAAACACGACCGATGAACTGATGTGGAATCACAAAGAGCAGAATTTCAGCGCTCTTGGCAGCATCGAGCAGATCTGGCACCGCCACCTGTGAGCGAGAGAGAGAGGAGAACGAGAGTGGAATAGACAGAAGAATCTGTTTGATACTGAATGATGAAACCTGGAGAAACATATTCACTATATGATTGGTTACACCTACAGTGCTCTGTTTTATGTGACTGACATATTGGCTGATTTATTTATTGTTTTATTTTGGCAGAGTTTGGGTCCACGTCAAGCCAAAACCACTTTGTTCACAAATAAATCATTTTGGTTACCGTTCAGTGTCTCTGTTGCATCTGTTAATGGTTTTCTAGGCCTCTAGCCCAGTCCTCTAGTGAACCTAGTTAGGCTGAAGGATTTGGCTGACTCTCAACTATTTGGACCACAGGTCATAATGATGGAGAAACCACATGCAGCTTCGCCAGCTTCTTATCAGTTGCTTGAGTGGAAATAGATGGTTTCCTTTGCAAAGCAAAGCAGCAAGTGTTAGCTTCCTGTATAGTAATTATTTGCTGTTATAACGGTCTCTCATAAGATGATTCTCAACTATGTTATGAAAGATATTTTTCTTCATGCAAATGTGTGTAAAATGGCCATAAACGAGTTTTTCCATTATATACAATGTATCTATAAACTGTATCTAATTTGCATATTAATGTGTTTTTGGGGGCAACATAGAATGAACAAATAAGTGCAATAATGGGAGTAATAATTAGCAAGATTTTCATAATATCTCATATTTAATAGGAATATTGATCTATAATTTTTTTCTCTATTCATTTGTTGTGTTTTCCAAAATGTGTAATAAACATGCTTTAAGTCCCGGTGTCCTCGACAGTGGACATGTATGAAATTGATGTCCTGTTTCATAACAGAAGGTCATATTTTGATTTGAAACCCCATATCATTTTTCTGAGATGTTGATTTATGACAAACAATTTGTCAATTAGTCAGATTTAAATTATAATTACAAAATATTACCATATTTCCATTATGGTGTTACATTTTATCACTAAATGAATGTCAGCCATTTTTAAAGACCAAGGAGAGGGAGTGATCACGGTGAAACATCCAATCATTTGGTATCTCTGGAAAGCCCTGAATGTGCTCTGTACAGGACATCCAGAAGTGAAAAAGTGTGACATGTAACGTCTCAGAGAAATCGCTAAAACTATGTCCTCTACAGTGGACAAAACTCCATAGCTGGTAGTCAGGAGGATATATATGCAAGTAAAACAAATAGCTTTTATTATTGCACACACACACACACACACACACACATATATATATATATAAACAGGGTAAATCAAGTGACTATATTTTGGTTTTTATAATACAATATATTACAATATTTTATTATATTATTTATTATATTAATTGTATATTATAAATATTATTTTATTTTTTATGTATATAATAAACTATGTACGTTTTCAAGTAAAACTAGTGACTTTATTTTTATAATACAATATACTATTTCATTATATAATTTATTATATTAAAATAATATGTAATAATTTTTATATAATAAAACAATGTAATATTCTCTCTGTATTATTATTATTATTATTATTTTTTTTTTATTATATATTTTATGGGGGAAAAAATCCATATTTGTTTCAAAATATATGATTAGAATTTTAACTTTAATTTATTAAAATACAAAGTTTCTATTTTTTATAGATTTTTATTATATTAAAATAGCAATATATAATAATGTAATATGTATGTGTGTATATACAGTATATATGCATTTATACATTTCTGCTACATTAAAAATATGAATATTAGGATTTTAAACTTTCATTTATTAAAATATATAGTTTCTTACAACATTTATTCATTTTATTATATAAGTATTCAAGTAAAACAAGTTACTATTAATACATTTTATTTATATATATAATAAATTATATGATTAAATTATGAAGTTTCTTACAACATTCTCCGCAAGCTTGTGTCCAAGCAAATACTTGACGTTCTCATGGTCTGTGTTTATGATCTCCGTGAGCTTACGTCCGTTCACCGTCTCTTCAAACACCCACATGTTAACCGTGGAGTCAAACTTTGAGTTATTCCTTGCATTTGTGCCAACTATCTTAGCAATAGCAGAACCCCTGCGGACATGAGAGCAAGAGAGAAAGTGAATTGTGTGAAAGGTTGCATGCAATATTACAATATTGTGAGTGAACACTGTACTGTAGGGTGAAAAGTAACTAAAGACTTAGTGATGATAGTGATCAAAGCCTGTTGTGTAAGATCTGCTGTAGTAAAGTGGGGGTTAAATAGTTTCAGGTTTGGTTTAGGTTTGATCCCACACAAGGATCACTGTAGTGCAAAATACCCAGAAATATTTTGCATTATTGTTTGGGAACATAAACTATTTTGGGTTGGTAATGTGTGTAAACACTGAGTTTAGATTAAACTAAACATTTTCACTGTATATGCATTTAGAGAGTTTGTAAAAATCCAATATGACTCTCTTAACTGGACATATAAACACAAACTTGTATTGTTGTTATATACTGTATACACTACTTTTGGAATCTTGTTTAGTGTGACCATAAACAGGTGGTTTTAAAGGAACAGTAGCCCATTTCAAAGATTCAAGCTCATGCAAGCCTCACAATTATCAACAGCAGTCATTTTTACAATAAATATGTCTATATGAATGTGTACATTATTTAAAAAGCTTAAGGAAAAGTCATAAATTCTAAAGTGCATATTTTTTTCATGCATTGAAAGTAGGATATAATACACATTTCTGCAGCTGTCAGTACATTTCAAGTGCATTAGAAATGGACACTGAACCACAAATGTGTCCAGACGGCTGTACGTTGGTTAGTTAAAACTTATGGAACATAACTACTGAACCTAACCAGTGTGACTGACTGGAACATGTGTCCTACTTGTTTTGCATTGCAGCAATGTTACAAATGGCTCATGTAAACAGTGATAACTTTACTTGTATCACGCTTGACGTGTTCATTGTTTGCTCATAACCGGAGTCACTAATCATGCAGATTTACGCTACAAGCTTTTGTAGAATTGTACAGTAAGAAAGTTATTTCCCTTAACCAGGAAGTTAACGTTCTTAGAATTGATAAGACAGTTGACCCTGAGTGGTCAGCTAAATATCTACAGCGGATCTAAAATATGAATAGTTAATTATAACTAGTTATGGTTAATTATTCATATTTCCTGTTGTGAGCTAAATTCGCTACATAGGCTAGTATTCAAGTTTGTCCAAAAGCACATTCACAGCTGTTGAACAGAACTTCTTAAATGGATCTCATATTATGTAACAAAAACGACATTGTGTGTATCAGTATTATCCCTATTAATATGTCTGCTGTTATGCCCTTTCAAATGTCAAAACCCTATACTTGTTTATAGCATGTGATTCATTTGTCTTATGCTGTCATATGATCCTAAATCCCTACAGCTCCAACAGTCATTTGTAAAAGAAAAAAATATATAAATATATATTTTACCAGTTCCCAAAGCCGACGATGCAAACTCTTTTTGGACTTGACATTGCGATGTAAATCTTCACCGGATCCTTCGCTGAATTACAATCACTCTGATCTGTCAATCAAACCGCCGCGCAGTGAGCGTACACTTGAGTGTTGTCAGTGAAGCTACGCCCCCGGACTCTATTGGCCACTCAGAGGTAGAAAACTCCGTTGACTCCGCCTATTATTAACTGGTGGGCGTGATTACGGAATCTCAAAGCAAATGATTCATTTTGATGTTAAAGGGGTCATATAATGTTGCTAAAAAGAACATTATTTGGTGTAATGAAATGTGTTATGCAGTTTAAGGTTCAAAAAACATTATTTTCCACCTACTGTATATTATTGTTTCTACTCTATGCCTCGACTTTCTGAAACGCGTCGATTTTTACAAAGCTCATCGGTCTGAAAAGCGAGGTGTGCTGTGATTGGCCAGCTATCTAGTGCATTATGATTGGCTGAATACCTCAAGGTGTGATGGAAATGTTACGCCCCTTACCATACTGTGGTGCCCTGTCCTGGCACGACGACAAAACCAATAAAACCCATTACAAACGAGGCATTTGTTGCATCCAGTGAGGACATAATTACGGATTATAATGACTTATACTGTCCTTTTACATGCTGCGTTGCATTGTGCCGCGTAAACATAAAACCATGTCTGCATTTGTGATCAGAGAAATGACAAACAACAAGTGCTACTCTACACTGCTCAAAACTCGCGTTTGAATCATCAGTGGCAAATCCTTTAAAGGGGTCATATGATGCTGCTAAAAAGAACATTATTTTGTGTATTTAGTGTGATGAAATGTGTTTAAGCGGTTTAAAGTTAAAAAAACACATTATTTTCCACATACTGTACATTATTGTTTCTCCTCTATGCCCCGCCTTCTGAAACGCGTCGATTTTTACAAAACTCATCGGTCTGAAAAAGCGAGGCGTGCTCTGATTGGCCAGCTATCCAGTGCGTTGTGATTTGCCGAGTACCTCAAGCGCATGACGGAAATGTTACGTCCCTCACCATACTGTGTTGATGCCGTGTCCGGCTGGAGCAACGACACAAAAACATGAAAACCCATTACAAACGAGGCATTTGTTGCATCCAGTGGGGACATAATTACTGATTATAATGACTTATACTGTCGTTTTACGCGTTGCGTTGCATTGCGCCGCGTAAACATAAAACCATGTCTGCATTTGTGATTGGAGAAATGACAAACAACAAGCCCTACTCTACACTGCTCAAAACTCGTGTTTGAATCATCAGTGGCAAATCCTTTAAATGAAAACGTACTTACGTGAGTCAGAACTGCCGGCATTTTAGTCAAACGTTACTCTCCCAGGATCAGTAAACAGTCCTCCATAAAATGTGCCGGCAATCCACAGCACTAAATTGATGTATTTCCTCAGCGACCAGCACGGATCAGCTATCGGAAAGCGATATCGTCCTTTTTTGGAAGACCAAACAAAGTAGTTTCGCTTTCACAACGAAAAACACAGTGGCCTAGCATGAGCGAAAGCCCCGGCTTAGCGTGAGCTGAGGTCGGGCAAGAGTGAGCCGAGGCGGCGGGATAGAGAATGGCGGATCCGTCGAAGGAGCGGTGAAAACGGTGAAAGCCGATCCGGCGATCCACAGCACTAAGTTGATGTATTCCCTCAGCGACCAGCACGGATCAGCTCTAGGCATGATGAAGCGGATATCGTCCTCTTTTGGAAGACCAAACAAAGTAGTTTCACTTTCACAACGAAACACAGGGCAACAACAATACTACAGCGAGAATCAAAGTTACGCCTTCTTTCTTTGTGTGAACATTTGGGCGGCGTTATGCAAATCTTCCCACATAGTGAGGTAGACATGTGGGGGCGTGTTAGAACGAGCCGTTTTAGGTAGGTGTGGTTGACGCTTAACTTTTATAAAGAATATCTCTTTGGATTTGAGACTTTAGTCTTTGCAACTTTACAGATCTTCTTTATGCACCAAGAGCTTGTAACACTCCAAAGAGAAAGAAAAAAATTGAAATCGCATCATATGACCACTTTAAAGAGAAGGGGTGAGTAACTTAGCCTACTTCATTACTAAAGCTTAACTTTTACAATAATTATATATGTGCGAGTAAAAAGTTGAGTGTCAATAAATACAGTAGGCTATGTACATGACAAGTTTTCATAATCATTCATAATATTATGCATTGACACTTTAGTCTCAGTGGGACATAATGACACAAAGCCAAACTGTAACTTGACACTCAGCAAAACAACTCATTGTTAGAGTACAATTCTAGATTTGTCTACTAGCTTAAGGACTGACTGTAAAGCTTGTAATTATAACATGAGCAATCAAAAAGTTCTAAAGTGGAATGGGAAGTAGGCTATAAAGAAGACCTGTCACGAACGGGAACTGTGATACATTGTAATGGTCCTACAAATATGCTTTATGCAAAATGTAATTTTGTTTTTCTTTTTAATCTTTTGACATTTTTGTGAGATTCAGCCACACATGGAAGTAAAAGATCAACTGATTCATCAGAACAGGAATTTTGCAAAGGAACTGAGTAGCTTAAGATAGCAAAATGCCCTTTGAACAATGGAATCCTCTGTTTAATAAATGGAATACCAGAACAGTTCTCAGGGGTGAAAGGTCAAAGTTCCATGGGAGAAATGATAGGAATTCCTCAATTCAAAAATAGCTTATGGATTTTTTTTTGGAGAGTTAAAACCTTTGTTATTTTAGGATTATTTATTTAGTATTCATTCATATTTTGAATTGATTTTATATAACAATTCAAAATATTAATTAACTTTTATTTTATATATGTTTTATTTTTCATTTCAATTTTAGTTTGTTTTCGAAAATGTTGAAATCTTTGTTATTTAGTTAAATATTTATTATTTTAAATAATATTGTTATTTAGTTTAAATTTTTAATCCAATATTTATATCTTATTTTATTTCAGAAAACGATTTTTTGTCGTTTTAGTTATCAATAGCAACATTGCTTTGCACAACATTACATCTTAATTTGTACAGACACACACACACAGAAATATTCCAGGCAGGCAGGTAAACAGGACAATCATTTTATGCATGTTTATTCATTAAAAAAAATCATATTTTATTACAGCCACATGATAAACATCAAAATAATACAGAAATGTATCAAAGTTTGATTTATATATTAATACTGTTGATATTTGACAATCTTTATTTTGTAGGAAATACTGAAAATTGTGTGGTTTTTCTGAAAAGAAATCAGACCAAATTCTGCTGTATATGAGATTAATATGGTGTCTAAAATGTAAATCAGACATGAAAAAATATTCATGAGCTGCCATATTCCACAACAAATCACTGTGTACTATCTGCTGCCATTTGACACATCATTCTAATGCATCACAGACTTAAAGATACTTCATTTCCTCTGTTTAAAAATATCTGACACCCTGTTGCTCAAACTTTTCCTCATCCATTCCAGAAATGATCATAATATGTACATGCACAAAGACACACTTACAAACAGACAAACACATCCATGCACTTTCAGTCGAGCTTGCAAACACACAGCAATGGCACACAACTTTAACTGACACATATACAGACATGCACACACATCCCAGCTCCCGAAACAAACATGACACTGCAGACAGAAGCCTAGGAGAGCTCACATGCACCCCTGGGAATTTCTAGGGTTAGTCTCTCTCTGATCTGGGCCAATTATATCATGCTCATATCATATAGCACCCACAGGCCTTCAAGAAACAGTTCACCTAAAAATGAAAATCAGCTGAAAATGTACTCACACTCAGGCCATCCAAGATGTAGATGAGTTTGTTTTTTTCATTTAAATTTAAAGAGAGAAATTTAGCATTTAGCATCACTTGCTCATCAGTGAATGGGTGCCGTCAGAATGAGAGTCCATAAAAGCTGATAAAAGCATCACAATAATCTACAAGTAATCCACACCACTCCAGTCCATTAATTAACATCTTGTGAAGCAAAAGCTGAGTGTTTATAAGAAACAAATCCATCATTAAGTCTTTATAACTTTAAACTAGCCAAAATATCGGTCCATAAGTCCTTAATAATGCTTACTTCAGTGAAGAAGTTCATCCCCTGTTGTCTCTCGCATCAAAATCCACTGACATATTTGTTTAGACCTGTTTTGGCTTGGAAACGGAGCTTGATCGTTGCATATTTCTCTCCTGATTCAGACAACACCACTTTTTCACTGGAAAAAGCAATATTATGAATAGAGGACTTTTAGCCAGAAGCGTAATGATGGATTTGTTTCTTTTAAACACACAGCTTTTCACTTCTCAAGACGTTAATTGATGGACTGGAGTGGTGTGGATTCTTGTGATGTATTTATCAGCTGTTCAGGCTCTCATTCTGACGGCACCCATTCACTGCAGAGACCTTTGGTGAGCAAGTGATGGAATGCTACATTTCTCCAAATCTGTTCTGATGAAGAAATAAACTCATCTACATCTTGGATGACCTGAAGGTGAGTACATTTTCAGCAAATTTTCGTTTTTGGGTGAACTCTTCCTTTCAGACTGATGTTCCCTCACACAATGCCTTGTGCAATGAATCGCTTGTCACAATGCATTTACAGCCATATCATAGCCATTAAGATGCACAGAATTAATAAAATATGACACATAGAGTGACCCCTCAAGCTAGCAGATGCAATTCTGTCAAAAAAGGCCAGGCAGACAAAGATCGAACAATTGAATTAATATTAAACGTTTTTGACATTCCTGCCTTATAAATCAAAAGCAGGTTTTTCAGAAAACCACAAAACATTTTTGGAAAAATCCTTAAAAATCACATAAGAGAGAGAGAGTACAACCACAAGATGCCAGAACAATCTGAAGAAAACACAACCGTGCTGGTGTTGTAATGCCATCTGCTAAAATGTAGAACATTATCTGAATATGACTGGCAGGCAAACAGCTGGAATTTCTGCAGGAATGTTAATGGAATTTACTGACGTGACATTTAACATCATCCAGGCCGAGTACAG